TGCTGCTGAAAGTTAAAGATGTGAAAACACGGTGCGAGATGGGGCCGGTGCACACCAAGGGCTGTCCCGCTGTAACAGTCCCCTGTCCGGCCAGTGTCCCTGTTTTTATCTCCCTCTTCTTTGTTTGTATCTCTCTATACAGGGTGTAAGTTTACAGGTCCTGGCGCAGTCAAAACATGCCGAATGCCTTCCGCAGGCGGAACTGACCCTTGTCTTTGGTATTCCAGGCATTCCCGGAAGCGACTACATCAATTCCAACTACATCGATGGGTACCGACGGCAGAACGCCTACATCGCCACCCAGGGGGCCTTGCCAGAGACTTTTGGCGACTTCTGGAGGATGATCTGGGAGCAGCGCAGTGCCAGTATTGTCATGATGACGAAACTGGAGGAGAGATCAAGGGTGGGCAAATTTTACCAGCTACTGAAAACTGCATTTAATGGATACCGAAAAGTTATGGGGAACTACGAATTGGGGGGAAAAAGTGGCGGATGATTAATGAATGCTTGATCGTCATCACTATGGGCAAGAGACAGGTTGGGGTTGAGGGAATCAGTTTGGTCTGTATGCACCTGTTATTTGTTCACTGGACATGACTTGAGAGACGGGAGGCATATGTCTGAGACAGACACAACATATGCTCTGTTGCCTAGGGAATGCAGAGTGAACCCAGGGTTGATACAGAATTCATGTTAGGGAGGGGAGGGAGATCCATCATCCAATCACGTCATGGGCAGGGTCCTGGAGCCTATCATAGGCAGCACAGAGCACGCAGCAGGGGCACCCCCTGGATGGGATGCCAGTCCATCACAGGGCATATAAGCACGAATAACAGAAGCCATTTTGATTTGTATATCTCTGGACTGTGTGAGGAAGCCAGTGTAACAAGGTTAAACTGCACACACCCAGAACATGCACACTGCACGAACTCAATACATGCACACTGCACGAACCCAATACATGCACACTGCACGAACCCAATACATGCACACTGCATGCACCCAGAATGGAGGCAGGATTCACACCACCAACATTGGAAATGTAAGGCAACAGTGTTAAGCTTAGGTTAAGTACACATTTACATTTAATTACATTTAATTTAATTATGTACTATTTTCACAAGAATCTCTACTCTGTTATGATTCTAAATCTTCTTTATCTTCACAGATGTATTGTGGGTAGAGTTTGTTTAAATGTAGGCTCGCTCTGTAGACTACCGAACATGCTCTGGATTTTATGAGTTTCTTGCTTCCTTAACCAGCTCAATGATTTTGTTTGTGTTTTGTTTTGCATTTGTTTGTCATTTTCCTTCAGATGCCTTCTTATTTCTTCTCCAAGGCAAGACATCCCTCATCTTGTGTCTCTGGGCGTCGTTCGCTCACCATTGCCCCCTCACTCCCTGCCATTCCTGCTTAGCCAATGACGCGCCATTCATAATTTGTCGCATGGTCTCCTGGCTCATTCACTTTCGCTTCATGCCAGAATTAACCATTTGCCAAGAGAATGCCAAGGTTTAATCACGGGGCATGTCATCCAACTATCTTCACCCAACACTTCTCACATGCTACATGCTAAATGCTAATGGTTGCCACTCTATACACAGAATCTAGATCTGCATAAATATGCTGTCTGGAATAATCAAACACCAGCACTACTCGTGTTAAACACAGCGACTACTCGTGTTAAACAGCAAATGCATGATGCAGTAAAGAACGCAAGTTCCTTGTTGTCTTTCTTATTCTGCTGTGTAAGAATAGCTCTGAATTTTTAATTACAAGTGGTATTGTTAAGCAGAGGACAAATCAGCGATCCAAATTAATATTTCTTTTGCGATTAGCTAAGATAATCACAGTGGACTAAAATGGTTTTTGTTCCTCTCCAAATTAATCTTGTGATAGTTATTTTCTATTTTTGTTTTATATTATAATAAGGAATGGATTTATGAAAAACAGACAAGGCACAATGGAATAGCTGATAGAGCCTGATTTGAAAGCAAATGCTTCCATGCTTTGCTCTGCTTGTTGGCTATCACTTTTTGGGTGCATCTTCTTGTTCCTGTTTGTGGGAATTTAAGAAGGTAGTGTTTAAATTTACTTGGTCAGGTCTATTATTGGTCTATCATTCACATCATTCAAATTTGGTGTCTAAACTTGTTTGTTTATAGTGTTTACTTACAAACAGAAACAAGTGAACCATTGACAGATTTGCTGGTTCTGTAAAGTGAAATTTAGTTTTAAATAAACTAGAGAAAATTCTCTTAGGAGCAGACAGTTGTGTTATGCATAGTTTGTTGCCTGTGTCTCGTAAAGATGACAAAGTTATCGTAAAGTTACCATATACACTATGGCTTGTCTAATTTAAATTTACGTTTAAATTTAGCACACTTCATTTGACCCCTATCCCCAAGTGGAGGATTTCAATTTTGAGAGTGTTTGTCGAAGTTCGACGCTTCCCCAAACCGTCTGTTATTTACCCAAATTGGTTGTTCGTTTCTGTTTGTTGTTAGGGGAAAAAAAAGTAATTCTGCAGTGGAGCAATGTTTACTGCTGGTAACAAAGCAGAATAATGACAATAAACCTGCATCTCTTACCAAGTTTGCAACGCCGCAGTGGAGATCGTAATTATAGAGTCTGTTACGCCAGTATATATAACGCTGTCTGTAGATCAGTGGAAAGTTATAAACTGATTCCTCCCCTGTGAAATTGTATAAATCAGCAGAATACAGTTAGGCATAGCCGGTCCCTTTATTTCCCACACAGGAATTTTCCATACTTTGGTTAAAAGCAATGTCTTTTTAGCTTGATTTACAGAACTGTAGATAAAATGAGTTAATCCGCAATGGGCTTTATTTTCTATTTCCAAATGGAACGGCTCATAAATTTTCATTGCATTGCTGTGCGTGTTTTTTTTTTTTTTGGTTCTTTTTCTCACTGAAAGTTTCTTTTTCAGGTGAAGTGTGACCAGTACTGGCCCACGAGGGGCACGGAGACGTACGGGCTGATCCAGGTGACCCTGCTGGATACGGTGGAGCTGGCCGCATACTGCGTCAGGACGTTCGCACTTTATAAAGTAAGCGCCCGGCCCCGCTGTGTCACAAGAGCTCCTCAGTACGGCCCCTGAGCCAGAGCGCACTTTGTTCATTTCGGCATTTTCTTTTTAATAGCGTCGTTGTGGATTCTGAGCCTGGTAGTTCAGTGTGCTTGTCACCGGCAGGTCGTGGGATCAAATCCCACGATTGACAGAGTGATTTCACCACTGAGCCCTTGAACAAGACCCATATTCCCCAATTACTCCAGGAACCATTTGTACCCTACCTTGGATATAAGCACCTTCTAAATAAATATAAAATATGTTCCTCTCTTGGCAGAATGGCTCCAGTGAGAAGCGGGAGGTGAGGCATTTCCAGTTCACAGCCTGGCCCGACCATGGGGTACCTGAGCACCCCACCCCCTTCCTGGCCTTCCTGAGGAGGGTGAAGGCCTGCAACCCGCCTGATGCGGGGCCCATGGTGGTGCACTGCAGGTGAGCAAGCGGGACTGGGGCACGGTGCCCTTGACATGCCGCAGTGGGGGGGGGGCGGTTTACTGGTTCTGCACTGGTGCAAAGAGGGTTTGTGAGTCACGTCCTTGGATGGTCTTACCCATTACCAAACGTGCTCGATGCCCTAGTGCAAGGACGGCGATATCACTCTCGTTCAAGGTGATTAACCTGAATTGCTTCATTAGTTCCGAGAGGGAATTGCTCTTGTACTTTTGTATGCATAGGCGTTCTGGAATTTTCAGTGAAAATTCGAAGTGCCGAGCAGCTGAGTGATGTAATGCTTTTGGGCGGCGCCTCGTGTACTTGGTGTTCTCCTACTGGGCGTTTGCTAGACAGCAGCCCAGGATGCAGTCCCACCCGTCTGCCTGATAACTGCATCTCTCTCTCTCTCTCTCTCGCCGCCGCCGCCTCGCCTCTTCATCATGCGCGTGGGGTGTCTCACACCAACAGTGATAAATGCCCAGGGGTAATTATATCTAAAATACATAAAGAGACAGTACTTAGTGCAGTAAAAGACATAAACAGCTCGAATCCCGGCGGTGAGGAGGGAGAGGGAGCGGAACAGGACATGGCAGGCTCTTCCCGGCAGACAGTCAACAAAGCGCCCACTTCTTACGGACAGAGACTGCAAAACTTGCCCAGGAAAGTGTGAAAAGGGGGATTACCGAAGAATTGAATTACCACGTGCAGAAGTTAATTAGAGCTAGCAGCGGAATCAGTTTAAATTGAAAATCCCGGTTTCTGCGCCCGCGCCGAATGCGGGAATTAATGTCACACCGCAGATTGGGAGTTTTAATTCCCTTCCCTCGCATCAGATAAACGGCGGCGGAGCTTAAAATCACTTCATCCGCCGTCCGTTTAAGGGAGCCGCTTTTGACGGGCTTTTCTCCACATATTCCACCGAAATTTAACACGACCGCAGAAGAGTCGGACTTATCGCCGCTCTGGTTTGACCCTCTCAGATTCGCCAGGCTTACGTCACGTTGTGCTACGTTAAATGGGACAACGTCTAAAGTTCCGGATCAGTTTTGAAGAAGAGAGTGCAGTGTACCACATATTTAACAGTCAGTACGGCATCCTCAGGTAAAACATTAATTAGCTAACTAAGCAGTCGGCGGAATCTTGTGTTTTTCATAAATGTGTTTATCTCCTTAGAAAGAGAGCAGCCAAGCGGGATCTGTTTGTCATGAACTCTTTGTGGCATTTGCTGTTCATGCGTTTCCTGTATGGAAAGCTGTTTCATAAAGGTGTTCCATGCTGTCCCTATACAGCAATTCTACATTGCCAGTGACAGTTCATTAAGCAATGTTACTTAGCGAGTTTTGTTAAAGAGTCACCCTTTTCACACGTAGCTCTCTTGGGTCTACAGAGGCGCGACGAGTGACGCGTAGGGCCCAGGGGCACCGCTAAAATGGTACAAGTCGACATCCGTATCTTCCTGCCGCCGCATTTTCTACAACCTCTCAGCTGCTAATTACTGTTATTAACAGGAACTTTTTAATGGGCTGACTGTTAAAAGCAGCATTTCAACATCCAGCATTATATAACACGGTTTGTGGGGCCTGATGGAGAGGCTGCCGACGGGAATTGTGTCTGATGAAATTTCTAGCATGTGTTAGGTTGTAGGTCTACCTGCCACGATTTTTACAGATGGAAATGAAACCTTGTGTCATAATTGAGATGAAACAGAGTTTATATTTTTGTGCGTGCGTGTGTGTGTGGGTTTGCATAGATCACATTTGAGGACCAAATTGTCCCCAAAGTGTAGTAGAACCTGAAATTTCCCTACTTTTGGGGACATCTTTTGAGGTCCCCATTTGGATAACTTCAATCTTATAAAAGTCTTGTATTTGGGTTGGTTACTTATGGTTAAGGTTATGGATGAGTAGAGGTTAAGGGTGTCGTGACTGGGATTTGGGTTTTTCCCATAGAAATGAATGGACGGTCCCCATGTAGATAGGAAGACCAACTTGTGTGTGTGTGTGTGTGTGTGTGTATGTGTGTGTGTTTGTGTGTATGTGTGTGTGTGTGTGTGTCTATATATCCCACTTTTAAAAACATGCAACCATGAAGGGTCATGAGACTTGGCCAAAATGTATAACTGCATCTGCAAAGATAAACAGCATTAATCGATAAATAGGAAGAGTACTGGACCAGCTTCATCAAACCCCTTGATTTTAGAATGTCAGACAAGCTGGTGTCCGCATACTTTTGGCCATATACCTTAAATCTGAGGAAGAGCCTTTCTTGGCAGGCCTCCTCCCATGGCTTACCCACAACAGCAGGCCTTTGAATGAAGGCCCACTTCTTGTTATATTCAGTGTTTACACAGGGAGGTCAGATTTAATTCAGATCTTGAATTCTGATGCACGATTTACCTTTTCTAAAACCTTTTATTGAACCCAAAGGTAGTAAACTTTTTCCACCGGACCACTTCAGTGCCTATAAATATCGAACGGTGCTCCAATGCCATTGAGTGGCAGGTTTTGCCAAACATAAGAGGATGTGTCTGGGGTGAAGTGCCTTAAACGGGGCTGTTCCTGGTGTCAGTGTGCACGCTCAGACCTCAGAAGGATCCGAGAACGACTTAATTGGCAAAGGAGACGACGACCGCCTGCTCCCAGAGCAGCTCGTTAGAGAAAACCAGCTTTGGACTGGGAGATATTTTATCCACGAGGGGAACTCTCTCCTACACGCAGACGTCACCAGAAGACTGGAGGACCGCATGACCACATATGGTCCCCCACTGTCCCCCGCGCTGCTCAGGGTTGGTGACAGCATTATCGCAGACACGCTTTGCTGTTTCAATGCTCAGCATCTTACCGTGTTTAAAAACATAAGCGGTTCCTCGTGGGGTTGGTTAGAATGTGGCTGAACAGCTACTGAAGACTCTGGTCAATGAGCAGCCGCCAACAGAACCTGCTTGAGAACCATTAAATGAAACGGTCTTTCTTGGAGTCTCCAATTCACAAACGCTAACTTAGATGCACACTGTGATCTATTTGTCAATGTCCTTGTCTCTCTTCAACATGATCTTGGCATATGTTCTTGCATCCGCCTGTCCTATAAGGGAAGTGGCCATTTTTTTATTATTATTTTTTTTGATGTTCTGGTATTAATATGGGCGTTCATCACAGTATGACTTGAGACTTGTAACCTGGGCCGGTTCTGGCATAGGTAATCAGGTGACCCCTCCTGAGTGAACAGCTGTTTGTGATGAACTGTGGAGGAGAGTTACCGCACAGGAAAGGAATTCAGCCATCTGTGGCAAGTCTGAACATAATTTTATGACCTTCCTACGGGACAGAGCTTGGTGTTTTCGGGTCTTGCTTGCACATACCTCAGAGGAACAGAATGGGGGGCCGAAGGGGCCAGTCAGACCCCCTTATAGTAGAGTACACCTCCTCTGTGTGACCCCGATGTACCGTGGCATAGGCTTGGGTGGTACTAAAGGAATATGGCATACCGCGGTATTTTGGGCATATTGCTGTATTTTGAAATCTTTTGAAATCTTGGTGATAAAATTGCCTCTCCCCCCACTTTTTGTCTTCCTTCTGCAAATTTTGTCATGAAGGACCACCAATGGCAAGATTTCAAAATAACACACAAACATTGCTTTTACTATCAATACTATCAAATGCGATCAAAATATGTCATTGGCATAACACCTGGAAGGTATGATGGTAGGAAAAATCAGAAGCCACCCAAGTCTGACCTGAAGTCTGATGCGTTTCGGGCCTCTCGTCTGGCCCTGAGCGACACGGCTAGTGTTCAGTCCGGGATTCACAGCTCCTTTGGGTTTAATTGTGGGGAATGCATTTGGAGAAGTGGAAAATGAGCGTTCGTTGACTTGCTCAGTGAAACATTCGGGAGGAATCAGCCCACGTCACTGTCCACAAGGTGCGCCGGCTTTTGGGGGGGGTCCCAGCCTGGCTTCAGCATATTGTATCATATGAGCTGCAGCCTGCATGCCTCACCCCCACCCCATCAGACTGTTAACAGCTGCATCAACTGAAGAGCCGCCACTATCCCGTTATCCCCTCCAGTGCCCCCCACCCCCCCATACAGCCTCCGTAGCCTTGCCACTTGCCACATGGTCCCGCTTGGCTTTTGTCATGTTTGAACCAACAACCACATGGCACCCAGCTAAAAACATGACACCAATACCTGCACTGACATGTGCAGATATACCCACATAATGCATTTTCGTGAATCATGCAAAACAATCCAGACTCACTGATTGATGACTTAATTTAATGACTTGTATATGGGGGTGATGTGTGGCTTAGCGAATTGGGCCTCTGTGCCTCTGTAATCAGATTGTCATTGGTTTGAATCCCATCCTCAGCAGAGTAGCTCCATCTCCTTTGTGCCCTTGGGCAAATCAGATAGTGGCTACTTTAATGTTAGGACTCAATCCAAAAGTGTATTGTTCTGTTTTCCTGTTTTCACCAAGCGCCTGAATTCTTTATTCTTGAGTTGTTGTTTCTGCGATTTTGACTCCTGAGTTTAGACTGAGCTCTGCGGCAGTGAACCAGCAGGTCTCGGAAACCTCTACATGACCCAACAGCGGATTTAGCTCCAGCGTGGTCTGGGGGGGGGGATCTCAATGCCGAGTTGAAGCAGTCAGGGGTCCCCCTTAAACGCGAAACACGTGGAAGCTTCCGGCATCGAATGGCTCCCGCATGTGTCTTTATTTTCATCCAACGGCCGGCTTGCGTCACGTCGCAGGACGTTAAGCAGACGTCGCCCCCGGAGAGCCACCCTACCGCTGTCTGGTAAATGCAAACCAAATGCCGCATGCGGGAGAACGTCCAGAGAGCACCTCGCGGCCGTGTTCTTCTAACGCAACGAGGAACCAATTTAATTTTAAATGCCGGCCTAACAACTAGGCAGTAAGAGCGCGAGATCCGTAGCTCCGAGAGCAGAGCTTACCCAGGGAGCGGCTACGTGTGTCCTCTCAAAGCGCTCCCCGATCAGGCTCCCTGATTACGTGTTCCCCGTGAAACCAATTAAAATGGAGACGCAACTTCTCAGGGACGGAAAAGTAAGCTTCCGTATGATGTGGCACGTGTTCTAAACAAGCTGGTGCACCACTGCACCCAAAAACCAGACATCCAAGTCAGCCAGCTTGAGCTGGGCGAGGAGACATAACAGTATGATAAAAGTCTAGAACTCATTAACGGTTCCCATTTAGTCTCCGATTTTGAACATTAGTACTTTTTTTTTTTTTTACTTGAGATCTATTTCCATTTAATGATCCCATACCTTGATAAAAAGTAGCAATGTACCATAGTAGAGGTCGTCCATCACTATGTCCCCTGCTTCTTTACTCTAGATTTACCGTGATAATGTCCTTCTCTGGCTGTTCTTTTGAGAGAAATAAAGTACCATTTATCCCTCTGCAAGCATACGGCTTCTGCTGTAACGTGCAGCGTGTTAAAATAAATGATCTATCTGTATTTTCCTCTGCCTGGTAAAAGGTAATTATGGATAAACGGGCAGTTCGCTGTTCCCTCTCACAGTGCCGGCGTGGGCAGGACAGGCTGCTTCATCGTCATCGACGCCATGCTGGAGCGGATAAAGCATGAGAAGACCGTGGACATCTACGGCCACGTCACTCTCATGAGAGCCCAGAGGAACTACATGGTGCAGACGGAGGACCAGTACGTCTTCATCCACGACGCCCTGCAGGAGGCAGTGACGTGCGGCAACACCGAGGTTCCCGCCCGCAACCTCTACGCCTACATCCAGAAGCTGACGCAGATCGAGTCCGGGGAAAATGTCACCGGGATGGAGCTGGAGTTCAAGGTAGGAGCCTGGTCTCGGTCACGCCGACCCACGCCTCTTCTCTCTCTCGGCGCGGATGGTCAGGGGGAAGACCATTCCAGAACAGAAGCGGTCAGGAGCACTTGGGGAATTCACAGTAATGGACGGGTCTTAGGAGTGCAAGTGCACTTAAACCAGCACAGAAATGAGAGACCCCAAACCTCTACAGCAGTAAAAGGCACTCGCAACTGCATCCTGACAGATATTACTTTGGGTCCAGCCACTGCTATTCGGCAGAGTCCCCCCCCCCACACACTCATTTATTTATTTATTTGATAGAATCCAAAGAAAAATAAAGCAGCCAGACACTGGTGCTTAGGCCGACTGGCCATGTTTGCAGTCCTGTCGCATTTTATTTTTCCCACGCTGCTCTTCCTGCTGGTCAGTCATTTATGGTGAAAAACCCATGTTCCCCACACCCCCGGGGAACGGGGCCCTTTCACTGTGCACCCCGGGCGGGGTTCCCCGTTCACCAGAACCGCAGAACCCGGTCCCCTATTTTCACGGTGCAAGAGAATGTTACACTATGCTGTTTGGCTCCAGCGTTTTCCCGGGCCGTAAATCGACTTGTAAGTCTTGCAAACCGTGGGCCTGCAGCTGAGAGGCCATTTCTGAGCCTCTTGCTATCTCTCAGGTGAGATGCGGGACTTGCGGTCGACATTAAGTGAGCGAGGCGGCACTTATTTATTTGTGGTAGATTTTCTCCTCTGTGGATTGATACAGCACTGGAATAATATCCCATTGTCTCACATTTGCGGAGTCACCACACACTATAATCTGCACTGCTGATTCCTCTGGCAGCTGCAGCTTTTCACGTGACAGTAACGCGCGACATCCGCGTCCCCCGGCATCGCAAAAGCGTACGAACTAATGTCGTCTCTGTGTATTTTGCCCCTCCCCCTCATGTGACTTCCTCCCCACCTATCGCAGCGTTTAGCCAACACTAAGGCTCACACATCCAGATTCATCAGCGCCAATCTTCCCTGCAACAAGTTCAAGAACCGCCTCGTTAACATAATGCCATATGAGTCCACGCGAGTGTGTCTACAGCCCATCCGAGGGGTGGAAGGCTCCGACTACATCAATGCCAGTTTCATAGATGGATACAGGTACGCTCCCACTGCTCTTCCTTCGCTTGATTGCTCAGTTGTTTTTCTGATTGATGCATCCAGCAGCCACTAATAACCCTGCAGTATATTCTAAAACACATGCTCGTTTCGTCAGCATGAACGTCCAGATGAACGTGCACACAGTTCCTAATCAGTCACTGAACAGCAGGCCAGGTAAACAGGGGCTCGCTGTGCATTTGTCTGCTCTGACAGACGATGTTTCTCTGCTGTAGAAGAAGGGAAATCCTCAGCGGTGTCTCAAGTCATTAAATCTGCAGGCCTCAGTTTCCTAATGTAGTGTTTTTAAATTAATTGCACCAAAAATTCACAAATATTGATAAATCATATTGATTGGTAAATATTGATTGATAAATAAATGCCCCCTCGTTTTATTGCAGTCACTCACACATGAGTGAACGCAGACACCTACCTATCTGCGCATGCACTAGCACACATACACAGACTTCAGGACTCCTTGACTTGAGAATCGAAATCCTTTAAAATTCGGCTGTTTTTTTTTTTTTTTTTTAACAATTTCTCATAGAAAATTACACACAAAAAGTCACATGATATCATCATTGGCTGAAAAAAACCATGTGACAAAGTCACCTGTCATGCACCTGATCCCTACATCGCTGTTCTTCCAAACTGCTGATTAAGGTCACTTTGCACCAAGAATAATGACAGCCGGCTAAAAGATAAAATTAAATGCAGAGTGCAATGCAAAATTTCATATATTCAATGTGTAAACCACATTAGAGTTCATGCCTATTCACATGCACAGAGATAGTCTCCAACCAAGACCATCCAACCCCTTGCCCCCACCCACAATCCCAGCAACCCTGTAGCAGATAACTGAAGGGTGCATGCCATTTTATATGATAAAAGCGTATTAACTATACAAAGGTCTGCTGAAAATCCCATTTTTGGAGGAAACCTTTGCCGCCAGCAATCAGGTAATTAGCTATCTTTAGGGTGATAAAAGCATTCTTTCTGGGGATTCGAACAAATTATTTGTAATTGCAGTTTAAAGCGTTTTTTTCTTCTTCTTTTTCTGGTCCTGCTGCAGACAGCAGAAGGCCTACATCGCCACACAAGGGCCCTTGGCAGAGACCACGGAGGACTTCTGGCGGATGTTGTGGGAACACAACTCCACCATCGTAGTCATGCTGACCAAGCTTCGCGAGATGGGCCGCGTGAGTGCTGGGAAAATCATAATTGCTGGGGAAATGCCAGTGTCAATGGGAAAAAGTTATGTTGGCTACTGTAAGCGACGTGAAGAGCAGAGGACCATGTGGCACAGAATTAATGGCGTGGATTTGGAGTAGAGACAGGACCGAGACTGATGGAGACCCATTTCCCATGGTGCCTCTGGTTTCTTGCAGGAAAAATGCCACCAATACTGGCCCGCAGAGAGATCCGCACGGTACCAGTACTTTGTCGTGGACCCCATGGCGGAGTACAACATGCCACAATACATACTAAGGGAATTCAAAGTGACGGATGCCAGGGTAAGGCCTGCGATTCCGCCTTAGCGAATGAAAAACTGACACACAAATTCTCCATATTTCCCACCGGTCAATCACGAGACTGATGACTTGTAAGGCTTCTTACTCATTGGTTGATTGATTAATTGGTTCTACCATTTATTGATTAATTACTTTGTTGATTAAAGTATGCTTAAGGACTGTAGTGCACCTAAATGAAGACTTATATGGTATAAACATTGCGTGGCACAAGAATTTAATTTCATTACTAGTAAAGTGAGTTTACTGTTCCTGGACAAATGAGTCACGTTTTTACCATACCGTGTGTGGTCGGAAAGGGTTTTACCCATTGATTGCATTGATCTCCTCGGTCTCACCATTACAGCTCTGCTTCGTTGCACATTTAGAGGGAAGAAGACGAAAGATCAGCCAGGCTTATCTGCTGCTTTCGCTTTACTCAAGCACTAATGTCGTGATCCTGCTGTGAATTCTGAGTGCCCCGGCTATCTTTCTCGGGCACTCTTAGTGTGTCCAGTAGCAGCTGATTAATTTTGTTAGTCAGTTAGCTATTTGCCGTTTGTCGATTTGAACTTTGAAACAAATATAAATTGTATCAGGCCTTCATTGTAAATACTGAATTCAGCCCAGTATGGGAGAGCAGGAGGCGCATGTAGGTTTAATTCCATCAAGGTTAACAGTTCTATGCGACGTTGACGTTGCCTTTGTAGTAAACGTTAGAGAAGACCCTTCATGGAACACATTTTTTTATCATGGTTAAATTACGTTACTGAAATACCATTCCCTAAAAGACAATCATTGCAAGGACCTTGCGAATTGCACACATCAAAAAAAAGAATGTTATCTCAAATATTTAGGTGCAAACATTCAGTGGAAGAATGACATATCTCTCCTGAACAGTTTCCCCAGATCAAAGTGTTCTCTGACCTATCTCGTTTGTAAGAAATATTTTATAACTGCACATACCTTTGTAAATTCTTTTGGCAATAATTCCATCAGTTGGACATTAAGACGTGGGGTAAACAACCGGCACTAACCTTGACTGCCTCGAGATATACCAGCACATTTCCCCAAACGGTAATTAGTCACAGGTAGCTTCCTGTTTGACTTGCGCTCAGAGCAAGTGTTTGAAGTTCCTCAGACGCTTCTGCTCCCCCTGAAGGGCAGGAGTAATGCTTTCCATTTGGCGCGGGTTCTTCATTCTAGGATGGACAGTCTCGAACAGTAAGGCAGTTCCAGTTCACCGATTGGCCCGAGCAAGGAGTTCCAAAATCAGGTGAAGGCTTCATCGATTTCATTGGCCAGGTGCACAAAACAAAGGAGCAGTTTGGCCAGGATGGGCCCATCTCTGTGCACTGTAGGTAAGGAGGAACAGCTTCTCTTCTGCGACTGTTTGACTTTACACATTGGCCTCTCTTTCATTAAAATAACACTCTTAACCCTCTGGGGGTCGACAGCATCGTTGACGATGCTGCGTATCTTTCTCGTCTATTTCAGTTCATAACTCGCCGAAATCTTATTGTAGAAACATGAAAAAAAATCCGTAATCTGTCTTCTTTTCGAAACATCCATTGTCGGAAGTATTAAAGTTTTTTAAATTAGGTTAAATCGGCAAAAAAGTAAACCATGTCACCTTACTTTGTTTTACCTGCATCGGGGGCGTGTAGTACCGCTCTCACCCGAAGATCGCTATTCACATTCTAAATAGCCGCATTAGCGCGTATTCAAATCGCATTCGCATGGTAATTTGATGAACAACGCAGCGGTGAAACGCGGATCCAGATACATCCCCGTCAGAGCCATAAAAGGGGGATGGGATGTGGCCAGGTGTCAATGGCTCATTCATACACCTGAAAGTTGCTACATATTCAATGAAAGGAGCCAGAAATAGTGACATGAGTTAGGTTTTTCTTATTTATTTATCCAACTGAATGTTGCAACTATACCATGTAGTCTTGTATCTTCATGTAGCCAAGACTTTGGTGATCAGATATCTGGGATCAAAACAAACTGCCAGCATTGCTTACTATGTACTTTTATAATGTTTCTGCATAACTATACTTTGATGTCAAATTACAAACTTCACATATATCTGACATATTTACAAAGTACACTAAGATTAAGATGAGTTTAATGCCAAAACAAATATATAAGGAATAATTTATTTTCCATGAATTAAGTTTATGATATTGAATGAAATGTGTGATCATGCCCCAGTCAGTGAGAGTTTCTTCCCTACCCCTAGACTCCAGAGGGTTAGTGCAGCTGTTTCACTCCGAAACAAAAGGTGATGTGAATCACCACATTGAAGCACGATTGCTGTAGAAACAACCTCGTTTGGCTTTTTTTTCCCCCCTGTGGTCATTCCTGGGGGAGAGGCCCTGCCTAGACAGATCAATTACATTCTAGACACCCAAACCCTACACCCCAACAGCCTTCAAAGGTGCTGACATGTCACTGGCTCAGGGTTAAATCCAAACGAGACGGCCTTAAAAAGAAAACCTTGCCGTTTATCGCTCTTTCTGCACAGAGGGCTGGGGGTGATTAGCAAAAAATCTGAAGGAAGGCTTGATTTGTCTCCCGAGTCATCAAGTTCTAAAATTTTAACGTATATCGTTAAATCTCCGCAGTGCTGGTGTGGGGAGAACAGGCGTCTTCATCACCCTCAGCATTGTCTTAGAGCGGATGCGCTACGAGGGTGTGGTGGACATATTCCAGACAGTCAAAATGCTGAGAACACAGAGGCCAGCCATGGTGCAGACGGAGGTAAGGACGGCTCTAGCCAGACTCCATTGTTGCCCGCGGCAACCCAACATGCTATCACAGCTGTTCATTGGCTGCCACAGGCGCACTGGGCCTCCGAGTTCCCTGGAACTGTTCTTCAGTGCCCTAATTCTCACACCCCCACTTGTGCATGACCACGATGGTCAGAGATCATCTGTCTCCACCTGATGCCTTCTGCAGTTGCCACAGTTGGCTGGTGTTTTGAAAAGACATTCCATGCTTCGGAAAATACCCTTAAAAATACATGTATATATGGCAAAAATGTACTTGGGAGTATCTCCTTAAAATATTCACCGACAGTCAGAGAGCAGCTGACGATGTTCCTGGTGTTCCAGGTATCAGCCCTCGCTGGCAGAAATGCCCTGACAGTTTGGTGCGTGTTGAACCATGTGTGTTGTCATGTTTTCTTTGTCTTATTTTCGAATGGGTAGACGAGCAGTGCCAGTTTCATGGTCTTGCTCGTTAATGGTTTAGCTAAATGCAAACCGGCCATCATTAACATAAACAGTCTTCGGCAGGGTTTTATGCTGAGATAAACAAAAAAATATTCTGATAAATATTATGGGATCCTGTTTTACACTTATTGAGAAATGGGAAAATGATAAGTGATAAAAAAACACATAAATAAAAATATTAAATATGGGCCAGATGTATTTACACACTTTCTTTTATTTATTCTTTGATAGGATCAGTATCAATTCTGCTACAGAGCTGGACTGGAATACCTGGGAAGCTTTGATCACTATGCAACGTAAAAGTCCCATTCCTGGGGGAAAAGCAACGGACCCCTCGTCACCCAGAGAGCCGCTCTTGAGCCATACCTACCTGCTTAAGAAGTACTTCTTCACTTCTAGCTATGGACAGATTAAGTGTCAATTGTGAAACACAAACAAACAAAAAAAAAGAAAAAACAGATTCCAGGTGGACCAAGAATTTAACTTGTTTGATAAACTACCCCTGAGAAACCACAAAGGAATCCTGACTGTTGAAGCAGCATAAAGATTGTTTGTTTTTGTTTCCTTTTTCATTTTGTTTCATTTTACTTCGAGGATTCCGTGTGGGTTCAAGACAAAACATAGCTATCAAGACAACGACAACAAAACCAACCACTGCGGGAGGACTGGAGATGGCGATCAGAATGGCCTGGAACTCAATGCACACTGTACAGCGAACATTTTCAGAGTTCCACTGTCACAAACACGAGGGACGCTTTCAAAAGGGACACCACCCTCTTGGTGAATTACAAAAGACAACATGACAACAATAATAATAAAGCCCAATTCCCACCAAATGGTTCACTATTAATAATTAGGGAAGATGGGGAATGTTTAAAGAAAATAAAACTTATTGATTTAGTTTTTTAGTACTTTATTATACAGCTGACCTGTGCTTCATTTTTAACTGTGTAAAATTATTTCTCTTTTTTAACAAACTTTTATCATTTGATGAAGTGAATTAAACAGAACCTTTGCTTAATAGTTTTATTATTATTATTTTATTTTTTTTGGTTCAACGTGTAGCTTTTTTTAAGCTGTAGAACTGCTCTAATGTACGTACCTTCAAACAGAGGAAATCGTTACTTTTTTTTTTTAGCTATCTGGGGTTTTATTTGTTTTGGTTTTTCAGTTTGTGGCACATTATATGTGCAGACCTGTATTTACAGTATCAATTTTTTTTTCTTCCCCCACTCCATGTCACCATTTTAGGTATATGGTTAACTAATGCCCATAACACCAATGTAATAAACTGGGACATTGTGGAATCAACAGGGGTGAGCAAAGTATGAAGTTGCTGCTACAAATTTTATTAGTTCTTCCACGTTGACGTGTATGATTTGCCAAAACAGCCTCTGAAACGAATTCCCAAGAAACATATATACCTATATAATATATAAATGAATTATGAATACATTTATAAATGTATATCTAAAATAAGTTATATATAGAAAGCTTCCACACATCTCTGTGTTTTGGGGGAACTATTCACTGGAATGCACATCGGTAGAACACAACCGTTTTCTGACAAAATGCATCTTTTCACATGCAATAAATAATTTTCTATGTAGATTTTAGTTTCTTTATTTTGTGACTTTCCTCTGGAGAGCATCACTGGGACGAAATGCCGGTGTTGCCAACATCTATCGGAGAACAACAGCCTGTGATTTAGGGTCTGATCTGGGTGCCGTACTGCAGTCTCATCAATTTCCCACGTTTCACATAAAATTGTTTTCATTTAGCATTTATAGTGCCTTATATCTTATGCCTGTTTTTATAATAATCCTTTGAATTATTTTATGCATTACTTAATTGGTCTATCTATATAAATATACATATTTATATATTTTACCTTAAGTACCAATTTATTTTACTGTATTATATGAAATTCTATATGCAAACAAGATGATTGCAGTAGTGTTTTTATTTTTGTGGCCTTAGTCGGGCACCCCCCCACACACACATAAACCTTATCGTTAGTTTACTTTTGGTTTCATATTTAAAAGTTATTCATGCTGTAACCATATATTATTAACCAGCACTTTGAAACTGTAGGTGCAGTATATTGAAATAGAGGCAAGTTATTTTGTTAGCATGCAACAATATTACGTGCCGGGGCACTAAAGGTTACGTGCCAGCAGAAAGATTTTATTTACAGGCATGCGGACAGGACAACCATTCGCCTCGGCGAAGCGCTTCACACACTTTACACTGTTTTAAGACCAAACCTTAACAGTGAAAAAGCACTTTCTCTACTTAGGAGGAAATGGATGTTTCTAGGAAGACCCTGGAAGACGTTTAAGATGACCAGAATGTACTGAATGTAGAGTCTCATCTGAAACAAGCCTTCTATAAAGGAAGAGGCTGGTGTTTTGGGTGATAAACATGGATCAGGTACACAGAGACATTATTTAAAAAAAAAAAAAAAAAAAGCAAGAAGTGGGAAAATGATCCACTGGTGCAGGTTTGCTTTTAAATTCCGACAATCCTGACATTTATGAAGTGTTTAGTCTGCTTTTGTAGCATTTTGAAATGCTTTTGTTTCCGGATGTCAAAGATTCACTGACAATTTTGATTGGATTCTTCCTCCATGGATGTGCATTCCAGTTGTTTTCTCTCCCTTGCGTTAAGCAGATAAATGAAAAAATAATAAGATCTGAAAGAAAGCCAGCCGCTCAGCCAATCAGAATTCGCTTCCCCTTCCTGCTTTTCTGTCCAAAGTATGTACTAAATTAATATCGTTTAGCCCCTTAAATCTGCAGATTCGATGTTTGATTTTATATCGCATTTGGCTACTTTTTTCCCTGCTAAAATAATAATTATTAAATATGCTCCTAATGACTTACCGGTTGACTTCTATTACATTTCCATGTTTCCTTTTTGTATTATTTCTTCTTTTTTTTTAATATGCATGATTACATTACAGAATGGCCACTGCAGGCTCCCGTAGGAAGAATTGCACTTTCTATGTCTTTGTACTATGCACTACCCTATTGATTCTAAACCCAATAATGCATTACTTGAACCCATGTGTAAGAAATTAACGAAACCTTCACTTTGTGTGTATGTAAATAACACAGAAAATAAAATATCAGATATAAAGAAAAAGACAAAAAAAAAAGGTTTGTGGCAAAAATGCCTCCGTTTTGGTGCCATGATACTCCAACAGACGACTGCGGATTTGTCTTAAACATCTGTTACGTGGCTTTGCCATTGAAACTTGGGGTTTCATAACAAAAATAAACGTTGTGTTCTCTGCTCTCTATCTATCTCTCGTCTGGATGCATAGACTGGAATTAATAAATGAAACTGTAAAAACATGGCTTGTTAAAAGAATCATACAATTACCTCTGATTAGTAGTACGCGTAAATGTTTTTTTTTTTTTTTCTCAGAACGAAAGGAGTGCTTTTTATTTTCTTACCTAGGTTACATTGATGGCGAAAGACATCCGTCTGAAAATCAGTTCTTTGCTGACACAAGTTCCATTTGTTACAAATGAATTCTAATAAAAAAAATGTCAGTGTTATGCATCCTCGTCTCTGATTTTTTCCCTCCGAGTTTCACAGTGGTGCTGAAGGACTACTTATCTTCACTCTTCACAGTCAGAAAATCCGCATAAAAGGTTTTCTCTGTAGAACATTTGTATTGTTGCATTGTCCCTGAAATCAGACCTCTAATCTTCAACCAGTCACTTGTTTTTTCTGAAGTTTCTGCTGAATATTTTAACTATTTTCTGTGAGAATATAAAGTCTTCTCTCTATTAAGTGTACTTATGATCGATGTATGGTTTAAAAGTTGTAGCCCAACTTTATTTTCATTCGTCCCAGTCCCTAATGTTCTTTCTTCTCAGTGTTTAGCTCAATATCCAGGAGGGTGCTGCTGTTACCTTAGAACGTATTTCATTTGAATTGCCAGCTTAAAAATGTTATTCTTGATGAAAGATCAGCTAAAAGGTGTAATAATGTTGAAATTATGGGTAAGAATGTTGTACTCATTTATTCCTGTCTTCTGTTTTCTAGATATTTATGTATTTTGGGGTCAACCCATAACTCTGCATTCTGAGAAGCTGAGTCAGTCTTCGTGGTTTCATATCTTCAGATATATCAAAGTTTTTTTTTGAGGTAACAATTTTTTTTTTTTGTCATTTGTAATAGAATGGTGTTTGTGCCCTGTGATGGGACGGTGCCCAATCCTGGGTTATTCACTGCCTTGTACTCATAGCTTCCAGCATATAGACTCCAGACCTCCACGACCATTAATAGAACAAACAGGTACAGAAAGTGAATAGATGGATGAATGGTTGGAACATTTCTAATATTCCTGTAACAACAGACGTTGTTGTAAACTCTTTTATGTAACGTAAAATATCTCTGCATGTTTCATGAACTTCAGATTTACAAACGTGAATTGCAGAAGAGTAAATGGCAATTGTGACTATTTTAAATAAGTTCATAATACTAAAATGAACACTGCTCAATTCAGAATTACATTCCAAAAGAGACTAAAGATGAAATTGTAGTAACACTTTACCTGAAGCTGTCATCTATAATGCATTACAGATACCTTTATGATAGTCAGTATAAGAATTAATAAAGCATTATTGCATCTTCTATTGACAGTCATAAGGCATTATATTGTTAATTATAAGCTCAGTTGAAGTTCTCATGTATAATACAATATGGATACCTTCATAATACACTATACTGGTCAGTATAAGTATATAATACATTATTGATGACAACTTCATGAAGCATTCATAATGCATAAAAAACATGCCTATAATGTGTTATGCCTTTTTAACAATTATTAATATGCATATTTATAATGCGTTATGAATGCATTATAATATGTTATGAATGTGTTCATAGATTCTTATAAACATGGCATTCATAAAAGTGTTACCGAAATTGCATATCGTGTTTGCATTTGGACTGTATAAACATAAAAGTAAGTTTCTATCCAGAATTCCTTTTTGATGCTTGAATTAAAAGTTTATTCAAGGTTTTCTCTACATAACTTCCTCTTCGGACCTTAACTGTTCTTCAGAGATAACCTTCAAACAGAAAAGCATATTTGCAAGTCAGAAAGTCATACTGTACACCCCAGGTTAATAAAGCAAGTCCTGACAGAAAATCACTGCCGTGATATAATGCCTACAAGCATTTCCATACTATGCATTTGCTGTATCTCACAAACCTTCTGAGGGCATGCGGTGTTCTCCTGGGTGACATACAGTACACATGCATCCAGTCTTTAATGATTGACATGTTGTCGCTGTTCCACAGGCACATTTGCCTGAAGCTACAGTGTTATGGGTCTCTATCCTCTTCAATAGAGAAGTTCCTGAGAACTCCACAGAACTCCACAGTCTCTCATCCGCACGTTGCTTAATATCCTAAAGACGATCCCCATAGAATGTCCAATGACTTAGATATCGATAACACTTTTTGTTTAAATATGACATATTAAAATGTAAAAGGAAAGTTGATCGCACTTTACTTGAAGGTACTATGTATAATGTATAATGTATATTGTCATGTATAATATATAATGGTGTCTATAATGCATTATAGATGTGAGCTCCACAGCGCATTCATAATGCATTATAAACATGGTTATTACCTGTTGTGCTTTTTTTATAGTTATAGCCGTGTGCGATTATGATGACTCCTTTAAGTAAAGTGTTTTTTTTTTTTAAGCTATCAATGTACCCTTATGTGTTTAAAAATACTGGAATACTGGGTTTTTGTACTTGCAGGTAACCACATATGAAAAGATACATATCCCGATTTATTGAAACTTACTGAGGCTGTTTACGCCACAGGAATCAGTCTGACATATTGTAGGCCTATTGACATTGCAAAACACATATTTGCTGTACATCTCAAATGCAGGATGTTCATGTCTGTTTTCCTTGTAATTGTAATAACACCAGAGTAATACGATGCAATATGTTATCTGTTGATATGCAGTGCATTATCTGTAGATAACCCGAGCTGAAGATAATTACTTTTTTCCAGTCATCAGTGTTTTTGTTTAGATTTTTGCCTGTCAGATTTTTTAAATCAACATGTACAATATCACTCTGTGATATAGATACGTACCATCCTCATTGTTATTATATTGCTGTATCCAATATCCTCTGTTTTCAGATTGTACCGATTTTATGTTATTCCATTCGGTTTGCATTCAGCGTCAGCCACCTCTCCGCCACTTCCGGGCCGTGCTCTTTGCCCTTGTGTCGCCTGTGTTATGGTCTGCTTTGTCGTACTATTGTTATAGCAGTGGTTGACACTGCAGTATTTGAGGATGATCTTACAGGCATTTAATGAGGTAAGTCTTATGATTGAACCTGTAACAAGTGCAGTTTGGGGGGGTGGACAGCTACGATTGCAAATTGCCCCGCAGGCCAAGTCTGAGGAAGTTTCCGGGCTTTAACGTTTATTGGTAATTAATTGGAATGAATCATTTTTCTTCCTGAGAAGAGGCACAGTGGAGCAGTGGTTAGCACTACTGCCTCATACCTCTTGGCCTCGGGTTTGAGTCTCTGCACTGGCTCCCTTTGGGCAATAGTCCCCATGTTCTCTCTCTGTCGCTGTGAGTTTCTTCGGTTTGTCACAACATGCCAAAAGACATGCTAATGTGAACCAGAGTTGTGATGGGATGGTGCCCCTGCCTTGTGCCCATAGGTACCGGGAAAGGGTACAAACACCCATGACCCAGCATAGGGCAAGCGGGTACAGAAGATGGATGGATGGGTTTTTCAACCTTGTCCACACTCCTCAACAGCCTCCTCTGAAAGCAGGTGCCTGATCTGATCCATTGGCCATGACAGGTTCCTGACCCCAAAGTGGTCCTCTGTGACAGCCTGCCTCTCTGTTATCCTCTGACATCTAAAAACTTTATTTTATAGGTAGATGCATCAAATGAGGGTTTAGGGGATTTCCTGCCCCCATGGGCTGAAGAGGGTCGAGAGCCTCATGCTGTGCATTAGAAGCTCTTTGCTCAGAAGTGATTTACAGTGACATCAAAGACGAATATCTTTCCATCATGTAGGTAGTTCTCAATCTCCTTTATTACCACCTGGGACAATGATTCATTCTCTGTTCAAACCACACTCTTGTAATGGCTGTACTGGATCACTTATAAATTGTGAGGTAGTTTTTTTTTTTACTTCAGTATGACTTGTTTTGTATAATGTGGTTTAACTTTGACATATTTCTGTTTTGATTACCAACGCTAAATGCCAAACCAGAACAGATCACAAAGATATTTCAGCTGCATTTATGTATTAGCTTCCCTTTATAGCCATTCAGTTACCGGGTCTCTCTGTCCATCCGCCACATGTTTTTTATCCTGCTCGTACCCCTGTTTGTCCCGAGTGCTGCTTTCGGAAATCCATCTTGCCAGCCTAAAGAATAGGTCTCCTGTCCTCCTGTCTCTCCAACACCCAATTCCTTAAGAACTGGTGTGTTTGGAGATTTCCATTGTACTCAAGCACTTAAATATGACATAGAACTAAATATTTTCCTAAGTGAAATCCTTTCGCCTTCTCCCTCTATACTCGGTAGAGTTGTAAGTCAGCAGGAGGAGCATGGAGCTAAGGAGGAGCACACGTCTGCTCGTCTGCTCCATCCATGTGTTGTACCAGTGTTCCCACTGTGATCCATCAACATAGCCCCAGGGCCATCACTAGGCAGAAACAGCACAGGAAGAGGCACAAGTTACTTTTGGGGGTTGGAACATATGGAGAATAAAGCAGAATGTCATTGGTGCCCTTTCATGTGCCTATACAGCTCAGGGTCTGGCTTGTTCGTTTCCAAAAAGATGAATCTGTTCTTCCATTACATCCCTATCACACTAAATCATTTTATTTATATAACTTCTTTTATGAAGTGGTAATGTTAGTGACTATCTGCATGGCTTCAAATGTAAATCAATACTAAACTGTCCGGGAGCTTGCAGCATAATTGATCTCGGTGTCCGAAACGAACCTGTTCAGGGAACTCGGGGCATCGTTACGTTAGATGTGCATGCGGAACGTTTGCGAAGCCAGGCGGGGCAACACGAAAATGCCACGTTTAGCTGTGGCCTCTGAGCAAAATCCATAGCTCTGCAGAAATCAATAACAATCGCTCTGGAGATATCATCACAGCGAGATTCAACAGAATTGAATCAGAAACTTGTCTTTATGGCAGAAAAGTGAATAGTGGAATGTAAGCCTGCAGAAGGGATAATAGAGGCTGTCAAGTCTGAAGTCTGCTTGAAAGGTATATAATTCAAAACATAACAATAAATATTGCATTGTGATGTATACAGCTGACATATTTCACAAGGCAACAGTGATTGCAGTCCAATCTACTGTGAACAGTGGAATTAAATTAATCCAGGCAGATATTCTTCTTATGTCTTAGGCTAAAATAACTGTACACGTTTATTTCAGTCTAAAGAACACGTTTATTGGCATGTAGTGAAATATGCATCAATATTAAACAAATAAAATGCACTCTACGAATGTACATAAAA